AGCTTTGTTCATAATAAATTAATACATAAATATGTAAATCAATCATGCAGCCGTATCCAATGAGCATATATTTACCTGCCCTTCGGCAACTGACTGAAGATGCAAAGCACCCAGTATTGGAGCTGTAAGACACAGATAACATTTATAAAATAATAACTTCATGAAAGGTACAGGAAAAATAATCATCAAGAAGGATTAAAATGAAGATGTGTAAGTTTATTGGTTAAACTAACCACTAAGATCTTTGCCTCCTTGCACAAAGCCTTCCCATGCCTTTGCTGTCTCAAAAATACTTGCTGCCATCTTCAAAGAGTTCAAACTTTGCTGTGAAAAAGGAAAAAAGATAAATTAAAGTAGTCACATAACAGCTGTTGCACTCTGAGTACAGTGGACAATAGGGCATTACTTAGCTTGTGTGCATCCACACCCTCCTCTCCCCAATTTTTTGGAGAGAAGGAGGCAGAAGACTTTTGCTCACTTGATAACAAATCTTAAAACTTAAAATGAGGAGTGTTAATTGCCATGGGACAAAAGGAATAACTAACAATCATCTTTGGTAAACTTTGAAGTATTCACATTACTCACCATTCAAACAAATACTGGGGTGTGGGTACTAGTAATGTACACTCTCACTGACTCTCCAATCCCCAGACTTANCCCCCCCACCACCACCACCACCAGCAACTATGTCTTATTTTCTCTCTTGAATGTATGCGTACACAACAAATAGTGTATGTTCAGTTACTGTAGTATATACAGTAATATTATAATGATAACAACAAAATGGCATGATGCAAAAACACTTGACTGTGTTGTTAACTGCAGTATATTTCTCTTACTTTCATTTTCTCTTCATCTTCTTCTTCATTTGTAATGTTCTTGTTGACCTAAAATTATAATATTACAAAAATGTGAAATAACTAAAAATGATGTCACTAAAAAGGCCTTTTCAAAAAAGTTCACTAGTTTGAAAGATAGTCAGTACTGATAAGTTAATAAAGATGGTGGATTTTAAGCTCGGTAATGAAATGTGAAGGTGAATTAATCAACATGACACGAGCATGGGACAAAGAAAAATTCTGAGTCCCCGACAGGAATCGAACCCAT